TGACAAGATGTGATCATTCACCAGAGAAGTTGTTGTAATTTTAAAATTGGTTAGATTATTTTTTCCTAAAGTAACTGAAAGTGATTTGGCAGTCATGAAATTTACCTAAGAAATAGATGATAAAAGTATGTTTCATAATGTCCCTTTAAGAAACAGTAAATCTCATTAAGTAGGGTCAACTGTTTCTGTGGGTATCTCCAATTCCGTCTTGGTTCATTTAGTCATCTCTCCTCCCTCTCCTCAACTGGATTTCGGGAGTATGACTCAGTGCTCTGCTGTGCGTGCCTGCTAGCCATAAAGTGGGGAACCAGCATTGGATTTCAAACCAAACACTTTGAATGTGGGTGCTAGCTAGGAGGCCAAGGCAGTCTATGGAACCTCTAACAGTGAAGCCAGGGTTTATTTCTAGGTCACAAATGGACTTTGGGAGCCCATTCCTATGGAGGGATACTATTGCAGCCCAGATACGGAAAGGAGGGCCTGGGCCCTCCCCCATATGATGTAATGAACTTTGATGATCCCCCATGGAGAGTCTTACTATCCCTGGGGAGTGGGTGGTGGGTGGGTTGAGGGTCGGTGGGAAGCATTCATTTCTCCCAGGGTTGAATGATGAAAGAGCTCATAGACCAGTCAAGAAAACATACTTTGTGTCAATGTTCACTGTGAAGAACTTAAGTAAACAATAACGGGAAGACCAGGCTGACAGAATACAAGGAAAAGGTGATGACTAGAGGTGAAAAGGAACCTGAGATTACTTTTCCATTCCCCTCTCTTTTCCCAGAACTGATAATATAGTTAGTAAGAGGTCATTCTGGCACCTGCTGCCCTAGGAAAATCACCACCCCACTGATGTTTAGTAAATGATGCCCAGAAATCCCTGACAAAAGATTGTGATGTGGCTGTCAGAGTCTAAATTACTCATTAGATACTCGTCTTCTAAGAATATTTTGTTCTTCATTTTTCATTTATGCTAAAGAAAACTATCTGTATTCAGTCTCCTGTGCTTCTAAAATCATTTTATTTAATTTTTATGTGTGTATGTGTTGCCTACATATTTGTTTGTGTGTCTACATGTGAATTTGTGTACCTCATGTGTGCCTGGTACCCACAGATGTCAGAAGAAGGGATTGGATCTGCTAGAATCAGAGTTACAGGCAGCTGTTAGTCACCATTCAGGTGCTGGGAGCTGAGGCTGATTCTTTGAAAAGGCAGTAAATGCTCATAACCACTGAGCCATCTCCTCGGCCCTTCCTTCTATGCATTCATGAGCTGGGAAAATCTGGTGACCAAGTGGTGGTACCAGCCATTAAGTACAGCACCGTGATTATGGAAGTGACACTGGGGAGGATAATTTTTGGCACCATTTTAATGTTTTTTTCCATACTCTGGATCTGTGTATTTTTTTCATACAAAAGTGAACATTGCTAAACTTTGAAGCTTTATCTTTTTATAAAAACAATCTTCTTGAAATGGAGTATGTCTTAAAATCTCAAGTGGAGACTCAGAATTTGGCTTCCTCTCCATCAGTCCCACCCTTTTGAAGACTGAGCAAGAAATCCATGTAGAGATGAACATGTAATACAATTAACAACTAAGAGTAGCCATCTTCAGGGCTGTGCTTATCCTTGCATGCAGATATGAAGCTTTCTCTGGTTTGGGTTCTGCGCTTGCCTTTACCTCACTGTCCATTCATAAATTGGAGATTATGCTGATTTTAGAAATAATAAAGCGTACCCACGGATGCTTTTGGAGCTCTTCACAATAAACGTTTCACTTTCCTGCTGTTCAAAGACTTTTATGAAACTGCTTCTGTCTCCTTTCCTAGTGTTTTTCTTTGTAGTATGCAGCTTGGTTTCCAATTGAGCACACACACTGTAAAACTCTTGCTGCACACACTGGGGTTTTCATTTCACACGGTGCACAGCCCCTTTGACCCTGTCTTCAAACCTCCCCTGAATCATAAATGTTGACCAATAGAAGGATTCTCACTCAGGGTCATTCATCAAAGTAGAATTCTTATAAAAATCAAACCCTTATGAGCAAAAAAGAAGAAAGGGAAAGAAGGAGACTGCTAAATTTTGTTCCATCTGTGAAAAGTATAAGTTTGGCATGAATTTATTTGTAAATACCTTAAATTCAGGTTCAAGCATGATGTTTAAAGCATTAGAAGGTGAGGGACTTGGAAAATATTTCATTAATAAAAATCAGAATCTGTTGTTAAGACAGAATACCACGATTAAGAATGATTCTGGCATCCCACATTCAAAACCCATCTGAATATAAGAAACAAAAGAGTGATTACCCAAAGATCTATTATTTAAAACTAGGAGTGGAATGAATCAAATTAGGGCTTCTAAAAGTATGTGGTAAATATAGCATTGGAACTGTTTCCTGTGGAGCACTAAATTAATAGTTGTTAGTAAGGGAAACTAAGGAAGAGTCAGGGCAGGAAAGGGAATAGTCATAGTGGGAGGACTTCTCTTGATTAGTAGAAATAGTGAGAAGGTGGATATCTTTAAAATGGCGGTAAGCTAACTCAAGCCTGAGAACTTGGGAACAGGAGCAGAGAGAGGGGTACTTTGTCTCTATATTTCTATTCTGAAACAGAGATAGGAAGGGTACTTCTACATTATCATATTCTCATGACTCTGGAACACAGCAGGAATACTGAAGCCTTGGGATCAGTTGCCCTTCCTCCTGTTCTAAATGGATGAAAGACCCAAGTAAGAGGCAGCGTCTTTTCTCTAATAAGGTATTGCCCGAAGCAAAAGCTGCAGGAACCAGGCTCTGCAGGGTACCACAGAAACAGAGCATTTATGGGCAGAGCAATAATGGGTTCAGTGTAATGCAAAGGACAATAGATCAACATTTCAGGTTGGACTGAAACAGAAATTATAACTAGATTTAAAACACACTTGTGCATAGGAATTGGTATTTCTTTCAATCTTGCCTTCCAAAATTAAGGGGGGGGGAAATCCCTTACATGTCATTTTAAGAGTAGAAACTACGTTTTTGAGCTGTGAGTCAAAGTTAAATATTAGTAAAAAGTGACATGCAAATACATATTTTATATGTATATTAATTTTAAAAAGTCATATTCCAGTGCAGAGGCTCTGTTTTCCTTAATTTCAAATTCAGTTTAGATGATCTGCCACCAGTCTTGTCTACTTTGGAGTGACTCCCTACATTGCTGTACTTGTGCCCTGAAGCAACTCATCAAACAGTGCCAAAAATACTCCCTATTTTCTAATAGCTATGAAAGTATTATCATTTAAGTTGTTGTATTATATATATGAATTGTAAAAGAGAGACAGTATTGTGATGGTGTGGTACAGGGAATCTCGGTAAGCAGAGAAAAATGAGATAGTGTTCTCCGGATCAGTGGTCACACTGGGAATGAACGAATGAGCTCCTTGCACACAGCACACAGCACACAGCACACAGCACAAAGAGGCACAGGAACCTTCATCCTGACTTCCCCAGGGAACACCAGTGCCTGCTAGGGGACTTGGCTGCACCCATATCTGTCTTAATCTTTAAGTGCACTGTGAGGACCAAACTGACCTAGAAATGTGACAACAATTACAGTAAGTATATATGGTAATATAGTACCCAAGGTAAATAGTACTTCCTCATTGTGAAAGCGTTTGACACCATATTGTCTGGCTAAAAGAATAAAACACTGCAGGACACTCTTTCTCTTTTAGAAGACTCTTTCCTACATTCACTGTCTTTACGGTGCTTGATGTTCTCAGACAGACAGCCTTAGGCAGCAGTTCTCAACCTGTGGGTCGCCATCCCTTTGAGGGTGGAATGTCTTTTTCACAGGAGTTTCATAGCAGACATCCTGCCTATGGGATGTTTATGTCACAATTCATATCAGTAGCAAATTACAGTTGTGAGATAGTAACAAAAATAATTTGATGGTTGGGGTCACCACAGAGTAAGAAACTGTATTATAGGGTCACAAGCATTAGAAGGGTTGAAGACCATTGGTTTATAGCATGGCTGTATAATTCTTGTGCTGATAACACATACCAGAGGAGTAGGGGAGTTAGTGGTCCAGAGGACATACTTAACACAGAAAACACAAGGATCCTGGCTATAAAGTCTTCTTCCCTCCCATTGCAGACATGGAATCAATGATTTTAAACAACACCGGCCTTACCTTAAAGCTGGAGTCATTTCATAATACAGCTCAGTACAATCTCTTTTTCTCTATCCCTTCCTCACTTCTCTTTTCCCTCCATCTTTTGTTATTCCTGAATGAATAATATAGATAAATAGATATAAATATAGATGATATAGATATAAATATAGATATATATTCTGTCTCAGATCTGGCTTTTTAACACTAGGACAGGGAACATGATGATTTTTACTTTTTTGATGGAATAGCATTTATAGGTCCAAGGACATACCCAATTAAGAGCCCTCAAGTCATTTAAATTAAAATAAAGGGCAGGTTTATTCCTATTTTTTCTAGGAATAAAATGAAAAGGAAGCATGAAAAAATGGTATAAGTGGAGAATTTACAGATGTAACAGATGTTACACTGTTTATCTTTTGGAAGGAATAAAATTTTGACACATCTTGAATTATAAAAAATAGTCATTGCTTATTAATTCCATATGTTCGCATGAGATGGAAAAAATCATAGCATTGATCCCAGAATTATTAGGCTTCATAATAGATTTTTCCCAAAGGTCTTCTTTGTCCTCCTACACAAAAATTCTGTGTATGTCAAAGTTCTCCAAGCATACCAGAAGGCTCTCAGACTTCATATATGTATAGCTTCTTCACTCTGATTGTACGTTCTTCCCTCTTTTACACACACACACACACAAATTTTAAGATTCAGAGTTTTCTTTTTATGACCCACCCAGTTGATCATCTTTCTAATTACAAAAATTAAGTTCTCTTGCCTCAATATTCATGATTTCCTATTCATATATTCAGTCTCTCTACCTTAATTGTCTATTTGTTTCTTGCAGTTACGCTGTGAATTCTCTTATAAATTTTGTCCCTTTTAACATCCCCCCAAATATCTTATGTCTTCTGAGACATGATAAGATGCAATACCCGGGGGAGGAGGCTTGAGAAGAAGCTACCAGAAAAGAAGAGGAGACTACAATGATCAGGGCGCCTTCCATTCAACTCCATATTTTGGATTTGAAGTAAGAAATTTAAAATTAAAATAATGTCCCAAAGTCCTAAAAGATATTTCAGTATTTCAATCCACTACACTAGAAAATAATTTAAAGTATCCCTCAGAAGACTTTATTTTTCTAATTGAAACATAATTTTAAGGGATAGTAGAAATCAATGAAGATTAGTGTTCCTGAAATTTATTTTGCAGGACATTGTTCTGAAATACCTTAAATGTATATTAGATATTGCACTTTCCAAAGTTTGAGATAGAGAAAATTGGCACCATGAATTAGAACGAATCATCTCACCCCTAATAATCAACCGTCAATCTCCAAAAAAAGATCGAAACTTGTAAATGCTGTTTGCCATGGCTAATGTGGTTGAACCCTTGCAGACAAACGTCCTCTTGCTGCTGTGGCTGCTGATGCTGTGTGGAACCTCTAGGGAGTATAGTTCAGATGCATAGAAAACCTTCCTAAAAGAAAGAGTTGGGCCATACCTGCATCTCAGACACTGTGAGACGTGCAATCATTTCCAGAGTGAGACTGTGATGCCCTCAGATGATTTAGACACTGAGGAGGAGGCAACTGCTATGTTTGATTGTGTTAACCTGTACATAATTATGTAATTACCTACTAAAATTTAGTCAGAGTGTTGCATATCTGAATCATTAACTTTAACAATTGACAAGCTACTTTGATTAGTATTTTCATAGAGAGAGAATAACATACTTTTGTCAGCTTTCATATGATTAGCTATGATTGGGAATTTGTTTATGCAAAATGCTTTCATTGCCAGTTTGGAGAAAAGGGGATGGGAGAGGGAGGGCAATGGAGTCATGTGTCTCCCTTCAGCAGACTGTCTCGTGGTTCAACTCAGGAAATGCCTACGATGAGAAAATACATAAAACATACACACCATCACTCTCTCAAATGGCACATAATTTTGATGACAGATTTAAATAATATCTAGCAAGTTCAAGTTGGGAGAATTAAGCTCTCCTACCACAAATTAGACTAACAAGGACATCAATGTATGTGGCATCAGTGTACACTGTCACATTCAACTTCTGCTTTGGTGAGAAGGCTCTTCTACATCATTGATCAGGACAGCTGATCTTCTAGCGGGAAAGGCATGTCGATTATTTGTTATTTATTTTCCAACAGAAACACAGCAGCTGCAACAATTTCTGAGAGACTTTCCTGGCAACAATTTGCTATCAGTCTTAGGTAATATTGACTGTACACACATTCCTATTAAGGTAACATCTCCAAATGCAGCTAGCTATTCAAATAGAAAATCCTTTAATTTCTTGGCTATGATGGGGCTGTGTGATGCCAAATTTCAACTCTCAGTGGAAGACAGAAAGTCCTTAGGACATGAAGCATTTCTTGTCTCCACTGGCAAATTGGCTGGGCTCATTTGTTTTAAGTAAGCAATTACAAAAAGCAGCTTACGGAAATTTTAAAGTAAAATTAAAAGCAAAATTATTTCACTGGTTACTATGCATGTGCTGCGTTCCATTCTTGAGAGAGTGTGTTTTGGATGGAGATGGATGTAATCAAAGGCTTTAACATAGGTGACACATACTAACTTGGAATTGAGAAAAATGTGTGATTTGCCACTGAAGGGGCCAGACTATCCTTCCAGAAGAATTTTCAATGCAAAATCGACCCTTGTCTCACATTATTCTCCTTCTCTTGGAATTTTCATTACATAATCTAAAGAAAACACCTCGAAAATTTTGGTAGACAACAGCCCTTTTAATGCCTCCCTTTATAAAAGAAATAATATTCTAAGTACAGTTTGTTTTCCAAGAGAAGCAGAGAGCACCATACCACATTAAGAGTTTCTCATAGCAAATTAAAAACGTCAAACTCCATAATCATAAAGTATTGATCTCTCAAAATCAGACATTGCCGTTGTCACGTCTCACAAAAGCGTGAACATCTGCTCCATCTTTCACAATACGATTCTTCCCAACAATCAGGCACTGCTGTCTTTGAGAACCAAGCTTAATTATACTGTTTTAAAGTCTTCATGATTGAACACACATGCACAAACATAGCCCTTACTTCGGCTTTAATCTTGTCTTTCCATTTCTCTGAACGTAATTTAAATGCAAAACTTTTCTTACAATTTCAAGTCACCATCCAGCCCTGTAACTCTTCCACTGTGTATTAATTCTACCTTTCTGGCTGTAATTCTCTGGTGGCTTTTACTGATTAAAGAAATATCAGTCTCTCAGAAAATTTAGAGAAGAAACCCTGGCCTACTTTTCTTTGAGACATTACACATAATCTATTCCATTATGTCAAAACTAAGTTAACTGATACTGTACTGTGTTCATTTACTTTTTAAATGATCATCCATTTTCATTACTAATTATATTCAGCAGTCCCTTTGTATGGACTATGCCGATATGTTTGCAGCAGATTTTGGAGCACCATTATGCAACCTTGTGGAAGAGGATTCCCAGTCTATATTGTGAAACACTGTGAATTAGGAAGTCAGCAATCACCTGGGTATTGTAAGGAACACATACCAAGGAATCCTCCTGTTTGGACACATCCATGTCTTGGACATCTGACATTGTTTGACAACATTTTGCAGCCTAAAATCTCCACTAGCTTTCAGCATTGTCTTTAATTATAATGTTATTTTTATAACACATTTGAATTTTGTCCATCAGAGGAAGCTGAGATGCAAGACAGTGTTCAGAGATTAGGTCAGGAATAAGATGTGATGGAGAGGGATGGAGAGACATAGCGGGATATTATGAAGATGAAGAGGTGCTCAGCAAGGAAGGTGGTGGGCTACACTACAATAGGTTACACAGTAAGAAATGTCATAACCCACATAACAACTGTCTGTCATATTATAACATTAGGGTTTGTGACAAGAAAATAGTGTCTAAAACAACTTCAGCTAACCCAAGGTTTTGTTGTTGCTGCTGTTGAGAAAGTCCCTTGTGAAATTCAGTCATGCCAATCAACATTTTCTTCAGACCCTTTGTTTTATAGATGATCATTCATTGTCATTGTCAATTCAACATTTCATTACTAAGACAATCTAAAAAGCTTCTAATGGTCACTGGATGATAAAAGTGTTTCCAGTTGACATTGCTGTAAAAGTCTTCCTCAACTATTTTACCATACGTTTGACATCGTGTTTCCACGTGCCACATGACCCTTAGGGCAAAGGCAAAGTATTTTTATGCTTTAAGTACTCCGCACACATGATCTATTAGGATTAGTGTTTAGTTATGCAATAGGGAAATTGATGATCCAGCAGAATCATGTTTATAAAGAGCTAGCCACAGCTCTTTTTTCCACAGGAGAATAAGAAATTTTGCAACCACCACAGGCCCAACATCCCTTCTTCAACATGTTAGAGAGAGTTTCTCACATGTACGTGGTACTATCTGTCTACAGGACTATTCTTTTCCACACTTAGCATCCTATAAGCATTAAACCTCAAGAATGCTTGAAGCTAGACTTTGGAAAACGGAAACCAATATTTTGAAATATTCTTAGAGCATTCCAGGTCCTCTCACAGAAGATCAGAGTAGCCTTGCCTCTGAATGAATACACTTCTACTCTAGTAAATTCAATGGTCTATGATTAATCTCTTTACCTAGCTGTAAGTTTCTTAAAATTGACCTTTGTTTAGGATCCAAACAGGATTATATAGTATGTATCTATCTAGTAAAGTCGTTATTTCAAGCTTTATATACAGTAGATTTTTTTCAGATCCAGCTTATAGAAACAATTTTATATTTTTATGTTTCTTTGGACATCCTGGCCTTTCTCATTCTGATAACCAAAGCACTGCTAAATTTCTTAGGAAATGAAAGACTAAAAATCATAAAAAGTTCTTATTATTTCCTAAACAGCATGCAAAGCTGTTGCATAATCTTAGAAAAAGATAGACAGGACAGACCTTACAAATATATTTAAATCTCTGAAATGTAGACAAGAATATGTAAATTGAAAGTAAATGTATTTTAGTGAACTGGCAAGAAAGGAAAAAATATAGGGCCATATGTTACAATTGGTTTTGCATATTTGGGGAGGGGGAAGCTTCTTAAGCCAGGCATTTTCAGGCCATAAAATGTCTTCCATAGGTAACCACAGGCTGGCAAAAAATAGCCTGCAAGTGTTGAAAGTTAGAAATGAGGACGATGCTTTTATTGGTGGCTGAACAAAGCGGGAAGTCGGTGTGAGGGGAATGGAGATGAGAGTGGGGTAAATTTACTTATGTGGAAGTCGTATCCTCAAAGAAGGCAACTGTCCTCAAAACAAAAGTTCTTTGTTTCACCTTCATTCTTCAAGTTGACATCTCTCTATCACAGAAGAGCAATTGTGAGAATAACCTACAATGTTAATATCGGCCCCCTGTCTCACCTACCTGCTGTGGGAACCAAAGTCCTCTCTTCATCACGCCTGGCTTTCATGAAAATGTCACAACACACAGAAAGTCACCTAGTCTACTAGCCAGGATACAAATAATAAATAATTTTCATTTTCATATTAACGTTAGGCAACTTGGAAGCAAGCCTTTCTGTTTTGATAATAACACACACTGCTAAGAACAATGGCATCACATCAGTAAACACACAGTAACTGTAAGTGAACAAATCTGAGGTAAACAATAAATGCATTTCAGCTTTATGAGTTTCAATAAACCTCTCTGTGAGTATGAATATAATTGGACACTGTCCATTTCCATGAATGATTGAAGATTTCTCAATAGTGACATGATTTCATATGCTTTGTGCTCCTTTAACATTGGTAAAGCATCTTTCCATGGCTTGAAATCGGTACATGAATTCAACCATTTCACAAGATGGGAATATGTTTTTTTAACTTGGGAGACCATGTGTAGATAATCAAATGACTCTCTAAACCTCTGTTTTCCAATATATAAAGTGATTTAAAAAATACAGGTCTCAGTGGGTTCAGGAATGTTAAAATGAACTGATAGCATCATTCTGTGCTCTACTTCTGAGTTTGGTCCTTTGCTT